CCCTCTGGTGCTCTCTGACTCATCCAGCTCCGCTGGGGCTGGATGCCATGATACAGGCGTGGCTGAGGCTTCGCCTGTATGCCTTTCCCCGATCGCTCTGCCCCCAGGAGTTCTGGAGAGAGTGCGCCAGTGGCCGGGCAGAGTATGGTTCTCGGACCTGATTTCCCTTCTCGACGGCTCTCCATGGGAGATGAGAGTTAACCCACTCCACCCTGAAGGTCTACTTGGCGGCCATTGCGGCCTACCATGCCCCTCTTGGTGGCATTTCAGTCGCCATTAGGGGTCAAGGCTCACTCAACTCGACTCGACACCACGCCCCTTACCTTTATTAGGTTTTATGAGCTAGACATGCGAGCCACTCCCGGCTCTTCCGTTCTCTCGCCCTAGTTGTGCAGTCTTCCACACTAGGCAGAAGACGTTTGTCTGTTGCGGCACCGGCTCATTTAAACGGTAGTGGTCAGTGAAATTCTGATTTCATATTTTCCTCAGTGGGGACACATTCTAGGCCAAAAACAAGTTTGATGGGCATATCAGTTAGCCCTGAAAAAATAATATTATTTAATTTGATTGTTTACAAATCAGTGTCTAGACTAACAATTGTAAGGGATTTTCCATTACATTTTGCCAAAAATGTCATTTTCAGTTTTTGTTCCTTGAACCATTTCTGATCCCTGTTTGTCACATTTCTGTGACTTATAAAGCATGGTTTGCTGTTTAAGTCTTTACTCTTACTTAAACATCTGTTAATTTGTCCTTAATTTGGTGAGTGGCAGGGCAAACCGAAAGAACTTTTTTTCTAAACAATTTTTTAAACTATTTAAATGTGAATTTGAGGACGATTTTTCTTGTTAACTGGGATAAATTTAACCACAGCTATTTTCCTCTATGATTGGCATTACTGGTTTCCAGAAAGCTGACATTCTAGGCAGCTCTGGATTTCATTTAATACTTTGCCTGATGTTTACACACTAAAAGCCCCAGATTACCAGCACCTAATAAAGAACCGAGAGTGTGTTCATAATACTCCAGAGGTTGTAATGTGTTTGGATTCTTTTTAAAGAGCTGTCCTGCCATTGTGCCACACTGCAGTGACATTTTTGGTCCAGACTGCAGGGAGCTGATGAGTCACCTCTGTGTTAACGATTAAATTAGGTTTAAAGATCCGCTTGAGATGCTCGCAGCAGCCCAGACGCTATCCTTCAGAGAGCACTGCACTCTGTCTACTTTCAGAGTCAACTAACCTTAATCCACCCAGGGGAGGCCTTTTATTTGAGCTTTTATTTATAGCAACTCTAATAGATCCGTCAGCTATAGAGAAACCTTTGATCTATGACTAATGTAAGAGTTTACGGATGCTATATTGTATAAGGGAGGGTTTAAATTTAGACTTTGTGGTGTTTGTGTGCTTTTAGTTTTTTTTAAAGGGATAGTTCACCCAAAATGTTGTTATGCTGGTTTACATAATAAAATATAAAATAATAATTTTCATTGAAATAATAAACAAACTGGTGTATATATAATATACTTAATTTTACCTTCCAAGAAACTAAAAGTTATAAGAGAAACCATAGCAAAATTGGCTTACAAACTCTTTTCTTATTATCCATGCAGTCAAAGTGCTTGTTTTAGTTTGATTGACTTCTAAGAGACTCATGTACAGTACAGTACAGTCATATGATGCTTTTGTTTTGGTTGTTTTTGATCAGGGCTTTTGTAATAAGAAAAAAATGATTCCTGTTTTTCATCTTTGTCAGCTTCAGAAATGGTCTTGTGATGCTCTTTGTTCACTTGATTTACTATGAAAAGGTGGCATCATTAATTCATTATGGCATATTGACATCGTAGAATAGGAAGTCGGCTAAATACAACAAGAGGATCTGTTGTCATTTTGTGCATTGAATTGTATCATTAAGAGACCCAAATCGATTCCAGTAATTCAAATAATCTAATTTGAATGATTAAATCTGGCAAAAAAAATCTATTCTAAAATTTGTAACGCTAGAAAGTGAGAGGGCTAAAATCCAATGAAATGCTCAAACAATTTGAACAAACTTGTCTTAGGATCAATTGCATTTGTGAATAGCTTCAGATTTGATTTACTAGAATTAAAAAAATAAAGTAAATATTTAACTTGTCTGTAGTGCTGTCAAATGATTAATCACGATTAATCGCATCCAAAATAAAAGTTTTTGTTTACATAATATATGTGTGTATACTGTGTATATTTATTATGTATATATAAATACAAACACATGCATGTATATATTTAAGAAAAATGTTATGTTTTTATAATAAATTAATTTTTATATAATCTAAAATATAAGATGTAAATATTTACATATACAATATCTCATATACATGTAATGTACATATACATGTAAATATTTTCATAATATATACTGTATGTGTGTGTATTTATATATACATAATAAATAAACACAGTACACATACATATATTATGTAAAAAACATTTATTTTGGATGCGATTAATCGCAATTAATCGTTTGACAGCACTACTTGTCTGTGTAACTTGTTTTGCACTACTTGTTCTAAGGACAATTGAAGACAACCTAAAATCTACATAAACATATTAATAATATTCATTTTTTAAATGTTTATTATTTAGTATATTTAATAAGTATGTATTTATAATATTTTATTTTTAGGGCAACAAATAATGTTTAAATCAGCTGGTTTAGGATGGTAGCACTCTGAATTTGAAATACTGAAAAATTGAAGCATTTAATTGAAGTTTGAAGGGTATTTTTGCAAATATGCAGATGGTCTGCAATATTACAGTTCACACAAAGATTAATTGATTGAAAGCCATTAAGCAGTCAGGCTTTTTTCCAGGGATCCAAGCAGCATGGCAAACATCACATGAGATGAGTGTGTTGATCGGGAACAGCCTGCCTTCTGGGCCCCTTTTAAACATTTCTGCAAATCGTCTTTGATATTGAGTCTGAACTGAGATGTCACGCTCACCTGGATCCTGGGCTTCAGTCAAACCTGACTGTCTTTCTACTGTCACGTTAGCTTATGTGTCAGACCAGCCCTGAGCTGTTAGAAATAAAGCTAGATCAATGTCAGCATTGGTAAAAGCTCTGCAGATGAATATTGAATAGGAAAGGTCATTACAGCCCACAAGGTTTTGTTTTGTTTTTCATTCAAGGTGCACAAAGAAGAACCATATCTGTTACCGGCTCCCACAGGGGAATATCATGCTTTATTCACTTTCTCGTCTCTGTAGGCCCAAAATTCTCTTAATGTGAATGTCATCTATTGCTAAAGAGAGCACACACTCCCATCCGATCCTGTCTGCTGTGCCATTGGCATGGTAATGGGGCTGTGATGCTGGGATCACATTAGTTAGCTCATATTGTATCTATGTAAAGTCTGCTTCACAAATGGCCAATTGAAATGAATAGCTGTGGGCGAGGGCTTCAATTGTCACCCAGGTAACCGTGACAACCGTGTGATATAGGTGAATGTGCACTACACTGATGTGTGGGGATGAGAGTCTGGGATGATTAACAAAAATGACCATATACACACTATATAGGTCTATCTATCTGTCTATCCGTATCTATCTATCTATCTATCTATCTATCTATCTATCTATCTATCTATCTATCTATCTATCTATCTATCTATCTATCTATCTGTCTGTCTGTCTGTCTGTCTGTCTGTCTGTCTGTCTATATCAAATTATTTATTGGGTTTGATAATATTCTGTGATAAATGGCATTTGAAATATTTTTGGAATATAATGGCCAAGTTTGTTATTAAGACTACTTGTATTATTAGTATTGTATCCTAACTACAATTAATTTAGTATTTTATAATAATATTTTTAATGTTTATTGCATTATTTGACTAAATTAGATTTTGAGATTTATGCAAGAACTATTTAAATATTTTATTTTATTTTTACCTTTAAGATTTATCATCTTTTTAAGTAATAAGTAGCCATATTAAGAAGGATTTAAAGGACATGGACAAGAGTAAAACAATAAGATCTGTACATAAAATACATTTGAAAAGTAACAAAAATAAATGATGGTGATAACATGGTAAAAAAATTGAAGTGCCCATAACTGATGAAACCTCCAACTGATATTTCTCTCTCTCTCTGCAGTATCCTCTTTGCCGACATCGAGGGCTTCACCAGTCTGGCTTCCCAGTGCACGGCCCAGGAGTTAGTGATGACCCTCAACGAGCTCTTTGCACGATTCGACAAACTGGCCGCCGTAAGTGTCCACACAACAGCCCACGCCCTCAGCTGAACAGCTTTTTTTGTCGAAACACAATGGCAAACTGGGATGTAATCATGTTAATTCCGCTTGCATCCCACTCACACAGCTGACTGGGATAGACAAGCCCTCCCTCCTGTCAGATGAGTGTTTGCGATCACGCTTCTCACACTGAGCTTCCCGCTGTTTTCCAGCTCAACTATCTCCTCGTTATCTCCACCAGTGGTGGTGGTGACTCATCGCAGCCGAGTTGCCATGCATTCGTGCATGTACTCTGCTGCTACAGAGAGATGCCGCTCAAAGGGGAAACCATCTGTTGTCTGTTCAGATGTTTGCACACTTCACAAAACCTTCGAGCAAAAAGACAAAAAATTATGCATGCACACTTGGCCCTGATGATCAACAATAGAGGTTGTTGTATGGGCTGCGGGTTAAATGAAGGCATGCGCTGGGGTGACATTCAGGTGGCTGTCATAAGACCGGTCCTGCTGCCTTGGGTCCTGTGCCCAGCCTGAGGCTTCCTCTGCTCTCCACTGGTTTCTTCTCTCCTGTTTTGATGTCTTACAAACTAAGATACCTATAGTACTCCAGCTTAAAAAAAAACATGCAAAAACACCATAAAAGTGTCATATATATTATATTAGGCTATAGTGGAAGTCTTCTGAAGTCGTACGATAATTAAATAATGACACTCTTCATTTTTGGTTTGAACTATTCTTTTACAAACTAAGATGAACAATGCTTAAGGTAGTTCGATTAAAAAAAAAATGGTCTCACTTTATATTAGGTGGCCCTAACTACTATGTACTAACATTGAAATTAATCTTTTGATAAAATGCATTTTTGTGTACATACATGGTTTTACATTGTACTTATATTTAAAAAAAATACCTGCATGTAATTACATCTGTAATAAATTTTTTATTACATATATAATAACACTGTTGACCTATCCCTTACACCTTAACCCACCTTTAGACCTACCCATAGCACCAAACCTGTCCCTAACCTTACCCATATCCCACCACAATAGCAGCAGAATTTTGCAATACAATATGAACCCAATAAGTACATTTTACTTATTTTTTGATGTAAGTGCATAGTAGTTATAGCCACCTAATATAAAGTGGGTCCAGAAATGACATTTATGTCATTATTTTTCACCCTTATGTCATTTAAAACCTGTAAGACTCTTATTTTTTCCTTTCAAATTTTGGAGAATGATTTGGTTGTCCTTTTCCATTCAGTTACAATAAATGCTGACTGGAGGTTTCAAGATTCAAAAAGGATGCAAAAGCACCATAAAAACGTCATATATGCTATTTTACACTATACTGTATATTGCAAGTCTTCTAAAGTCATATTTTATGATTAACAAATAATGACAGAACTGTGAACTAGTCTACAGTATTATCTGTTATCTATTATATTGCCTTTTTCTAAATCCATTTCCAAGAGCTTTTTGTTTAGACTACTCATGTTTTCCAAGCAAAATATCAGGACAAATTGGGCTGGATTTTTGAATTCAAAAATAGTTTGAGTGGGATGCCAAACCTACTACATAAAAAAAACACACTTGTAGACAGATTAAAATCTGACATTTCTAAGCCATTTGGGAACAGTTAAGTTTTGAGTTAGTTTTTTCTTCATAAATCATATAAATCCCTATGAAACTCCACACCCTTAAAAGGAAAAACCATTTGCGGTATGTGAAGGGGTTTTAAATAGGATATAAAGGCTATATATGTAACACATCCCTGTATGGGATATCCAGTGTCACTCCCTAATGGCTATGAAATGACATGACACATTATTTCACTTTTGAGTGAAAGGTTTTATAAAAAAAAAGAAGGCCATCATTTGATTATTGGGCTCATTGTTGATCCCATTGCAGGAGAATCACTGTCTGCGGATTAAGATCCTGGGCGACTGCTACTACTGCGTGTCCGGGCTGCCCGAGGCCCGTGCCGACCATGCGCACTGCTGCGTGGAGATGGGTGTAGACATGATCGAAGCAATCTCGTGAGTATTATAGTGTTACTTCTGTTCATCAGACAGGAACAGCAAGGCTTTTGTGTCTCATTTTAAATGCCTCACTGAAAATGTACTTCAGCCAGGTGATACAAAACAGATGCTATGGTGAATCACAACCTGGCAGTTTAAAATGCTGATGTTAGTAATTAAAAATATTCTTATAACACTAAATGTAATATAGAATAAAGTACATATTATGTACAAATACATATAGCATCGCCTGTATATAAACACACACACATATGTATGTACAGTGGGTACGGAAAGTATTCAGACCCCCTTAAAATTTTCACTCTTGAATAAAAACAAATGATTTGTTTTTTCGGATGTAAGCATCAAAACAATGCCCTACCGTATTGCAGTGCATCAAAGCAGTCAATCCAACACAGTCAAGAATAACTTAAAGAGGTTGCCACCGTTTAGTAAACTGTGGACTAGCTTTGGCTGCTTTTCTGATGTTCACTGAAGTTTCCCGTGTCTTTTTCCCGTGTCACTTGAAGTGTTTCCATTTTGAATCATTGTTACCAAAGGCGAGACACGTGAGGAAAAAATAAACGATCAGTTGTGGGACTATATTCTGTCATAAATCGCATACGATTCATTCATTGCTGAACTTTCTACCATCCATTACTGGAAATGAAATGAAATTACTGGTTGATATGTCCCGATCTCAATAAAGTTTACACACACTTTTGGTCCGTGAATTAAATCTCGCCCGGGACGCGCGCTGTCTGAGGAAGGTTTGGCCAGGACCGGTTCCAGAATTAAATCAACATATTTTATGTTCCGTCCATTGCCAATCACTGCTATTTCGAGAGTGAATCCCGCATAAATATGCGGATGTCATTCCCGAAACTTTGCAGGGTGTAGCCTGTGTGTCCGAAAAACGAAAGTTTCATACAAATTCTGAATGGATTATACCCTAGAAAGTGCACAAAGCGCGCTCTCTTTATCACTAAAAAGCGTCACTCATCTTCGTTCATCGCGATCTTACAAAGTTCCGTTATAATCAATGAAGCTCTCTAAACGGCACAATGAATCTCTTATTTACATCGTGTCTGCACTTAGTCATGAGATGATTCACGAGCGTGCAAAACTGCACTTAAAAACTGGCGATTTCAGCGATGAGTGAATTCTGACAAAACGTTTCTGATTGGCCATTGCGTTCAAGAAATCAACAGATATGTCTGTGATTGGTTACATTGCTCAACGCTGCAAAAACACGTTGAGGGTATTTAGCGCTTGGCTAAGCTCTGCAGCGGAGCCGACATCAGGGATTCCATGACTAACAATTTTGTGGGGGCAATTGCCCCCCCCGTTTTGTACCCTGTTCGTGGAACATGCTGTACTGCAGCACTGGACTGAATGAAAGTTCACAGAAGGGTTGAGTTGAGACAGAACACTTAATCTTATTTACCTGCTTTTGTTAATCATGGCTAAATTGTTATAAGCATTACGTTCTTACTAGAAACTTTGAATTGCTCTCTATGAGTTTGTCCTGCTGTTCTAATTGGTCAGGTCAGTCATCCCTTAATTGAGTTTGTTTCCAGGTTATTTGTCTCGCATGCGTGTGGACATGTCCACAGGCCTGACTTCTCTAATGTTCAGTGTCTCTGAGCAGTTGTTTGTTAAGGCAGGAATGGTGATTACTGGGTTTCTGCTCCAATGAGCACGTACGTGTCTGTGTTTCTCTGAGCTGCAGTCAACCGGCCCCAGCGCCCCATCACAGGAAGAGACCATTTTTTCGCAGACTTGCCTGTCGTCTTCAATGTTCAGAAGAGTTTGATGGCTTGTTTGCCGTGTGACGTGGGGATCAGAATGTGCTGTGTTAACTTGTTGATGTGCCCAGTGGAAAGGTGCATTTCAGGGTGTGCTAATCCACCTTGAGACTTTTTCATATAGGGAAAAGTGGGATGAGATGTGGCAGTGGGTAAGGTTATGAATTATATCATATATTAAAATGCCAGGGTCGAAAATGTAGGAAATACTGTTATAATTGTCACACTAAAAAAAGAGAGTTAGCAAAGACTGCTTATTAACATTGGGAAAGTGCCACTTTCTTTAGAGATATTATTATTTCTATGGATACATTCTTCTAATTTCAGTTGATACTAGACACCATGAATTGTAATAAGGTTTAGCAGTTTTAAACTTGTTTACAGTTCTGAATAGTAAAACTGGAAGTTTAATATCAACTTTAGAGTATATTGTTAGTATTTTAGTATAGTGTTAATGTTATATCAAAATATATAATTAACTGAATTAACAACAGGTATATCTGTTTTGTTTTTTTTGTCTCTGTGCTCCAGGTTGGTGAGGGAAGTCACCGGCGTCAACGTTAACATGCGTGTGGGTATACACAGCGGGCGAGTCCACTGTGGGGTGCTGGGATTAAGGAAGTGGCAGTTTGATGTCTGGTCCAATGATGTCACCTTGGCCAATCACATGGAAGCTGGGGGCAAAGCAGGGTGGGTTCATGAACTTTGGATTTTTTTTTACCCATGTTTTCTCACCTGAACTCCCTGTGTCTCTTCACTTTTAAAATCTGAAAATGTGTTTTTTTTCATTAACACAAGACAAGTTCAGACAAGTCTTTTAAGTCTCTCTCCAGTTATTTTTCTTCACAATGTTCAGAATAGCATACTAGTATACTGCTTTCTGTAGTATGTAGACTGTGCAAAGTGTTCCTGACTGATTTACTACAACTATAATCAAAATGTCTAAATATGGTAAATCATATAGTAAATTGTAATAATTTAGCAATTTTCTAAAAATAAACATCAATATGAAATATATAATACATATACATATTATTATATAGTTATATAATTTGTAATTTATTATATTATAATATGTATTATATTATTTTAAAATAATATAAGCGTGAGCTATATTATAATTATTTTACTTTAGCAAACTGCCGAGACAACATTTCTCATTTTTGATTAATTTTAGTTACACAATTTTAGACATGACATAAATAAAATTACAAATACACAACAAAGTTACCTAGTGAAAGTAAATTAAATATGAAATATTAATAGTATGAAAATTACTGATGAAAATAGAAAAAAAAATCGAATTCAAAATATTAACAAAATCTATATTAGTATATCAATAACAATAAATGAACACTGACTTTATCTTTCATTTCGTCACACTGGAAATAGAAGTAATCATCCCAACGTTTACTTTTTATTCGTTTTTTTTGTAAATGAAGGCCACTTGCTGACAATAACTCAAACATTTATTGCTTCATTATGTGTTCTGTTTCACTCACTATAAAAAAAATTGTAACCAGCACATACTCAATATTGAATACACTAGTGTTTCACTCCAAATATGGTGCTGCCATTCCAGGGCAACTTCCTGTCTACATTTATGCCTCATGAAAGTTGTTTTTATCATCTCAGGCGTATTCATATCACCAAGGCCACCCTGAACTATCTGAATGGTGATTATGATGTAGAACCTGGATTTGGTGGAGAAAGAAACGTCTATCTCAAGAAGCACAACATTGAAACCTACCTCATAGTGGGCTGCAGTCAGAAGCGGGTGAGACCATTTTTTCTCCTCATCAACGAATGGTATCAGTTCAATTTTATAAATTCAGGTGAGATAAAACATTTTAGAGTCTCCTTTCTCTTGTGTATTATGAATTACTTATTAAACTTTGTAACCTGAGACAGCTGAAGTCGACAAGCTATGATTCTCCATTAATATTCACATCTTTTCAAGCAGAAACACCTAGCGCTCAGGAATAGCATGACTCGCATGATGCTGGGCAGCAGAAGAATGCCAATAAGCTATGTGGATAAATTCAGGGAAATGTGATGTCAGAAGACAAGCTAGATAATGACTATGACATTAAAAAGCATGGACCGTAATACTGCTCCTGTTTCGTATTTCCCTTCACAGACAGAAGAAAAGGCAATGATTGCTAAGATGAACCGTACCAACTCTGTCACGCATAATAGCACTCACTGGACAGACCGACCCTTCTACAATCACCTGGGTGGCAATCAGGTTTCCAAGGAGATGAAGAGGATGGTGAGGAAGCTGCACTTTTGATTAGCCACCCTTGTAGGATGAGAACATTATCTGAGTGCTGAAAACCAGTTGGTTTGCATTTAGTCTAATTGCCATGTCTAAAACCCATTATCACCTTTGTTGGAGGATAAGGCCTTTGACAGGGGAGGCTTTTTGTACCATGTGTTAACTAAGCCAAAACAATCCCAAGGAAATTGCTTTAGGGCCATATGTAAAGGGCCTCATGCTCTTTGTGTAGTCCCTGTTCTTTCATTCAGTTCTCAGCTCTTCCCCGGCTCTGGAACCCAAAGGGAAAGGCCCTCTAATTAAATAAAGCTGGATTGCCTCACATACTGCCCTGAGGGATTTAATCAGGCAAAGTGGAACCAGCAATTAGTTCCTGTGAGCTCCATGGGAATACCCTTTATCTTTTTTTTTTGTCTGAATCACCTGTTCCTTCTCATCTTGGTTAACATAGTAAGAAGGAACACAGAAATCCAGCATAACTTGTCCTCTCTGATATGCTTCAGACTCAGTTCTTAAATAAAACATGACAGGAATATTGATGTTTCCATTATAGCAAGACATGTCTACCGTTTAAATTTACAGTAATATGTCATTTTTTTTCTATGTTAGGAAACTTTTTCCAATCCCAGTTTAATATACAACTGGAATTAAGTTGTTAAAGCTATCCATTCCCATTCGTTACATTTAAAATTAAAGTGAGAAACAGAAAAAAAAAAAAAAAAAAATCTGAATTCAAAGTATTACCACAAACTGTATTTCTATGTTAGAAAACACTGAACTCTAGAGTAATCAACTTTGCCATCACTAGAATAAATAGCATTTTAAAACATTAAAATAAACTATTTTAAATTGTAATACTCTTTTAACATTACTGGGGAAAAAATGCAGTCTTAAAATGAGGATAAGAGACCTCAAACTTTTTGAATGACAATACCGAGAGAGAGAGCAGTATGTTTTGTAAATTTTGAAAGCTTTTTTTTTTTTTTAATAAATGGTGTAGTTGCACAATTCACCAGCAGGGGGTTGGTAAATAAAAAAAAAAAAAAATCTGAATTCAAAGTATTACCACAAACTGTATTTCTATGTTAGAAAACACTGAACTCTAGAGTAATCAACTTTGCCATCACTAGAATAAATAGCATTTTAAAACATTAAAATAAACTATTTTAAATTGTAATACTCTTTTAACATTACTGGGGAAAAAATGCAGTCTTAAAATGAGGATAAGAGACCTCAAACTTTTTGAATGACAATACCGAGAGAGAGAGAGCAGTATGTTTTGTAAATTTTGAAAGCTTTTTTTTTTTTTTAATAAATGGTGTAGTTGCACAATTCACCAGCAGGGGGTTGGTAAATATTGTATTTTGCGGTTGGCCTATGTGTTTGTCCAACCAACAGCAGATAGTGGGAACCTGTTTGTAATTATTTGTGCAGTTCTGTTTGATAGTGGCACAGATAAATCCCGCTCGATATATCCTGCTGGAGCTCAGACTGGCTTGTAATTGCCAGATATCTGTCCACGCCTACACAAACACCGAGCATTGAGGAAGACAGATAAACATGCAGTGTTTCATAATAACAACAGCACCTGTTTTTGTCTGTTGTATTGTCTAGAGTCTTGCGTTGGCCCAGAAGGTGTTGCTCAGTCGAAGGAGAGTAACACATCATGGAGTAACACATCAACATACTGACTGGGTCATAGTCTCTGTCGAGTGAATACATGCCGGCCTGTGTGGGAGTGCATCTGAGTCTCCCGAGACTATACATTTAGTGACTATTATTATGCATCTAGCAACTTGTCTCATGGATGCTTTCTACTCCCATAATTTAATGTTTAGTGGTTAGAAATTACCATTAAAATGGTCATTTGATATTTAATGGGAACATTCAGTCTGTTCCTCGACCCGTATATCTGCTATTTTTGATATATATTAAGTATGTAGTCATTTAGCTGTTGCTCTTATCCAAAGCACTTATTGTAGAGAATGGGGTTCTCATATTACCAGTTTTGTGTCAGTACCAATGCAAGTAATTCTAAAAAGTAATAAAAAAACTACATTTCTATACCAATACTACAAAAACTGAAATGTTTGTGGTATGTTCTGGATCCACTGGAATTTGCGATTTTGTGGTCTTTACACCTAAAAAGGGCTTTTACTTAAACGTTTGAAGTCAGTTTTGGAGATCGATATAAACTGTGCTCAGTATTAATATTAATTTTAATATTTATAATATATATTTACAATACAAGTTATTTTACCCAACATTTGTATGTGCTATGTATGAAACTTGTGCTGCCTGTGTAAGCCATCAGATGTCTTTTTTTGTAGGCAGTATCTATTTTTTGTGTAAAATCAAAACCCTTTGAGGAAAAGACAAAACACTAACCGCTAAAGCACATATGACACATGAGCCTATTTGGTTTCCTCTCCATGTTTCCCATGTCCTCCTACCATGATAAATCAATGCCTCATCAACATTTACTTCTGTTCTCAGTGGGGTCTGAATTTAAATTCCTCCAAAAAAGCTTGTGGTCATAAATCAAGCCACCTGAATCAGCTCTCAGCTTGTTTATACTCAATGTCAGTCATCATGTATTCGGTTATATATCAGTACAGTAATAATAAATTCTCAGTCTCACAGCAGTTCTCTGTTTTCAACGTTGCAATGTCTTTCCATGAATGATTGTCTTTATTCTTGTATATTTCTTGTATTCCCCAACCCCTCCTTTCTCTCTGTGCTTATCTTTTGTTACTGCATTTGTCACTGTTCTGTTATTTGCAGTTTGACAGTATATGAAATTAATAGAGATTTATGCTTGTTTTGGAATAGGGTGTTGGGTAAATCATTGTGGGGTTTTTATTATAAAATAAGTTTGTGGTGTGAACGTTTTCCAGGGAATATAGCTTTTGAATTTTCTATCTCTGTAATCGAGAAGTTTTATTATTTTAGTTGAGGTCCTCCAGAAGGGGTCACTGCTGTGCTGATTGTACAAATGCAGACGTTCTCATCGGTTCTGCATTGATGTATAATGCATTTTCTCTTCCAATTTTGCTGCAGGGATTTGAGGATCCCAAAGACAAGTGAGTATATGGAACACATCTTCATGCCTCCACCCTGCATGCCAATTCTTTTATTAATAGTCGATTACATAATTTATCTCATATACACTACCATTCAAATGTATGGGGTCAGCAAGATTTTGAAAATAAGTTTCTAATGCTTAGCATTTATTTGCAAAAAAAATACAGTAAAAACAGTAATATTGTGATATTGTGATTGTCATTACTGTAGTCTTCAGTGTCATATTAGAAATCATATTAATATGCTTATTTGCTGCTCAAAAAAACATTTCTTCTTATTATTATTATTATCGGTGCTAAAAACAATTGTGGTGTTTCATATTTTTGTGGAAACCATGACCATTTTCTGGATTCTTTGACGAATAGTTCAAATGCACTTGAACATGCACTTGAACATTTTGTAATAAATGCCTTTACCCTCATTTTTGAATGCATACTAATTTCTTTCAAAATTAAAGTATTACTGACCTCAAACTTTTGAAAGGTGCATATATAGCTTTACATTATGTAACATTAAAATACTTGAAACTAATATTCTGAAACATATAGTGCAGACTTTTAAATGTCGTTGAATGCGGTTTATTCAAAGCAGTTTTTTGGTTATAAAATAACAAATACAGACTCTGAATGCATCAGCTGAATTATATATCAATCACGCAAGTATTTCAGCAACAAAATACTGCTGGTTTTGTTCAGTGTCATATAAGTAGGGCTGCTGAATATGGGGGGGGGACTGCAAAATGGATAAAATAGCTATAAAAAGGAGTTAAGTCTACTACAGTTGTTTGTAATTAAAACATATTTAAAGGGGTCATATGATGCGATTTAAATTTTTCCTTTCTCTTTGGAGTGTTACAAGCTCCGCCATGTCATGAAGGTGCTGTGTGTTTCGTTGTGCAAGCAAAACTACTTTGGTTGACCTTCCAAAAGAGGACGTGGAGTCTAGCCCGGGGTCGTCACATGTGGTTGCCGCAAGCCCGCCGGACACTCCTTCGTCGAGTGTAAAGTAGCACTTGTCGTTTGTCATTTCTCCGATCACAAATGCAGACATGGTTTTATGTTGCGCTCCAGCCAGACAGGGCATCACAGTATGGGAAGGACCGTAACATTTCCATCACACGCTTGAGGTATTCGACCAATCACAACGCACTGGATAGCTGGCCAATCAGAGCACACCTCGCTTTTCAGACCAATGAGCTTTGTAAAAATTTACGCATTTCAGAAAGGCGGGGCATAGAGGAGAAACAATAATGTACAGTATGTGGAAAATAATGTGTTTTTTGAACCTTAAACCGCATAAACACATTTCATTACACCAAATACACAAAATAATGTTATTTTTAGCAGCATCATATGACCCCTTTAATCATTCTAACTCTGTCACTAAAATATATTTGAATGTGATCGAACTGCCAACTGCCAATGAACTAATCAACACATGCATGTAGTGTGAGCATATCCATCACTATTCCAGAGGTGTTGAAAAGTATCAGAACCTAGAATCCTGGGTCTCTTGATATTTATGCATGTATCACTGTGCTTGTATTAACTAGTCAGCATTTATCTAAATGTGTGAATACAGATATGCAAGCCAGTTTGCTTCTTTAGGCAATTCATCATCAAATCTTATACTGAGAGACTGCAAACCTATTATATGTCCATTTTGACACTTCTCTGTCAAACGAACACTTTCAGTATTTGAATTCAAATGCAGAACCTAGTTTTGTTTATGTGATTTAGTTACTGAATTGCATGAACATGATTGCAAGGCCTTGAGCTCTTTAGCAGATGATTTGTGCTTTTTAATGTAAATAACACAGTTTTACTGACAATCATTCAAGGCTAACCATGATGATTCTGAGCTGCCCTTAACTCTGTCATGTTTTTTGGGGTGTGGTGCTGCTGCTTTTTGGTGGTCTAGCTTTATAGTATTAAATTATAGTAGTAAGTTAAAGGATAGCTTAGAAGGGAGAAAAAAAGTAGAAAAACCGTGTCTCTTGCTATTTAGACATTTCATTTTCAGAAACGCACAAGAAAACCTGAACCCTGAGGATGAGGTGGACGAGTTTTTGGGCCGTGCCATTGACGCTCGAAGCATCGACCGATTACGGTCCGAACATGTCAAGAAATTTCTGCTGACGTTCCGAGAACCTGACCTGGAGAAGAAGGTATGACTTTCATGACTAGCTTCAATGAAAAGATAAACTTGATCTAGCTAATGCTAATCCACACAATGTTTTTTTTCTTCTTCTGTGAACAATAACAAAGGAGAAATTTAGCAAAATGTTCACACTGTTCTTTTCCATACATTGAAAAAAATTTTTTTGTTTATTGAAATAAATGAAATAAAATAAAATAGCAATTTACTGAAATAAAAGAAGCTGACGTACTAAAATTGCTAGAACTAAAACTTAAATAAAAATAAAGCTAGATAGAAATAAAAAAGTCAACAAAAATTACAAGCATGTAACAAAATTAATAAAATATTAAAATGAAAACTGAAAAAATAAAAGCTTAATATTAATAAATACTAAAAGAGTATATAATAAATGCTCAAATAACGGCTGTCAGGCTCCAAAAATAGCACAAAAAACACTATAAAATTAGGCCAAAATGAACATTTTCCACATTGTTGTCCACTAAAAATCAGGTGATCATGTGAGTGTTTTTATGCCAGTCAAGCTTTATTATTACTAAAAAAAAAAGTATAGTTGCTAGTTCTTCTGATTTAAATGCGTCATCAAGCTGACATTTTGTAGCCTTGTAGGGATTTTGTTGTAAATTGCATGACTTGTGAGCAGGAACTAACAATTTAACAGATCATTAGTTAATGTAACTGGTAAATTGTTCCTTCAGTTGCATAGCAAAAAATAGGACAGAGAGCCAATCAGAAGTCCATTATAGTACTGTTATACAGAAAAAATACTCTGCATAGCTCAAAGATGTGGCACGCTGCTAAGATGAATAGAGGCAATGCAATTCAAGGTCCAGGTTCGGAATGAGTCAGAGACTGACGTCTTTATGCTGCACTGTGATTAAAGTCATTTTATGGTGTTACCTTCAAAGCATTTGTTACCACTGACCTCCCCCATCTCAGAGAGATGCCAAACTTTCCCAGAAAAGATGGAGTTTTTGTCACACGTAGGAAACTAGTTTTTTTTTTTGTAAAGATAATGATGAAAGGGTAATGGAAAGAAAGTTTCTCAGCCTCATCCTCCATCTGTATTCACATCCACTTTTAGCCTGTTGTGCACAACTGCACAATGCCCCTCATACGTCTGGCACTGATCACACGGCTCTTTCAGAGACTTGCTTCCAGTTTGTAGTGGAGATAATTATTGCTTTTGTTTACTTCCATTGTCTGTGTCCAGAATGTCTATTTTAGGCTCATGAATGAATCAATTATCTTCCATAGTCTTTGATGAAATATACTTGATATTATTTTTTAGATATTTACTCTGCTGTTCAAAAGTTTGGGGTCAGAAAGATTTTTGTTTTTGAAAGAAATTGTTTTATTTAGAAACTACGCATTACAGTACATAGATCAAAGCTGACAAAGACATTTATGATGTTACCAAATATATCTATTTCTAATCATTTTTGGCTGAACTATGCCTTTAATTGGCTTAAAATGGCTTTTTGTGTGTGCGATATCTGTAAAATATTTTTAAAAATCATCCAATTATCCCAAAGAACTGGCAGAGTTAAAGAAAAACATTTGACTGGGAACCCTGGTTTTTCAGTACAAACTGAAGTAAACAATGAACATTAGCACATCTACTTCCCTCAGTCGGTAAAACACTATTTGCTTTCACATGCTATTTGAACTGTATTTGTAACCCCACTCTTTTCTCTCCTCTTTCCTCACCTTCTCTCAGTACTCCAAACAGGTAGACGACAGGTTTGGAGCATACGTAGCCTGCGCTTCCCTCGTCTTTTTATTCATCTGCTTCATTCAAATCGTCATTGTGCCACAGTAAGTACACTTCAGTTAAATGCCTGATCCTAGCAAATGTTTTCTGGTCCATTCAAACAGGCCAAAGGCTTAGAGAAGGTTTTGTTTGGTTTTGAATGGGAATGTCACATAGCCTTCATACACAGAAGCTTTCATTCATTTCGACTTTGTAAAGGTGAAGACAGTTAGTACCTGAGCAGCCAAAGCAGGTCTTTCCTCTCCCTTAGACCCTATGTTAATTATGACATATAATAATTGTTTAAAATGACACAGTTATTTTCTATTCACCTGGTTTCCTCTCTACACCTGTTTGTTTCTCTGCAGCTCTGGGTTGATGGTTGGCTTCTATATGTTGTGCCTCGTCCTCCTGATGACCGTCATGTTCATCTCAGCCATTTACTCCTGTTTTGGGGTGTGTGAAATGCTGGTATTGTACGAAATTTAGCCTATATAATATTAGTGCAATATTATGAAATTCTGAATAATAGTAATTATTTTTATGGAATAAAGAGGACAAACCTTGAGCAACATGGCATCTACAACAATGCAGGAAAACAATACATCTTAACACGTCCTTCACAGATCATTTCCTAACACTCTTACAGACACATCATCGCTAAATCCAAGTGTTTATCAACCTTCAAATTCTCCGCAATAACCTGAGCGGATTTGATTGATATTGGGCTTTTAGCTGCGTAAATTTGAGCAGGTCTCCAGAGACAATGAGTCACACAGAGCAAAGCCAGAGACACAATAAAGCGCTGGCAGCTCATTTGTGCACACTGAGGTGGAACTGTCACTGCATTGCTCCATGGGCGGCAAGGGGCGTCGCAAAAAAATCTTTCATAAAAGCCTGTTCTACAAAATCTCTGCAAACCCACAAGATCCATAAGGTCTTTTTTATCTTGTGTTTTATAGATACTATATATATATATATATATATATATATATATATATATAT